TCTCTCTCTCTCTCTCGGCGTGTGCAACCGAGCTCTCCTCCCCCGAACGAGCAGCCTTTCCGATCTCGGTTCTCGCAGCCCGAACTCCGAGCTCCTGTTCGTGCGCAACGCGCGTGCACTGCCCTCGAGCGCTCCCTAAAAAAAGGAGCCCCCCCCTTTATTTATAGTTTTCTCCTCCCCTACACAACCGGTGCTTCGGCTCACGCTCTCGGTTAGCCCTGAGCGCGAGATTTTCAAGAGACTCCTCTCCCTTGCTCGACTATCCCTCGGTTCCCCAATCAGATCCTCTCTCTAGCTAGCTTCCGGATCGGGCCCACCTTCGCTCGCAGCTTCTCTCTCTGACTCGGGTTCTTGCTGCTCTGCCTTCGTAATTTCCTCCGCAAGATTCCCGACTTCGCCACTTTAATCCACCTCCCTCCCCCTTCGCCAATCATTCTCCTACTCCTGATACTCTTCGGCCCGAGCTCGCTTTCTGGCGCAGCCTTCCTCGATTCTCCTTGCTTCCCTCCTTCGTCTCCAATCGACCCTCCCCCTTCTTCTGGTCTGGGTCCCTCACATCCCCCGGCGGTTGAAGGGAGCATTTCTAGAACTCAACCGTTGGAGCCTAACCGTTTTGTTTCACTGGCTGGCTAGACCGCTGAGAACCAAGCTTTTCGGCTGCCTTTCACTTGTAGGACCACGAGCTCCTCCAGCGTGGACCCTCAACCTATTCTCCTTTCTCTGCGGAGCATGATTGCTCGATCCACGCTCCCTCTTTCTCCCACAATCCCCTTCAAGCACCTCCCGATCCTTCAATCTCGGTGCAAATTTCAAATTATTTTCCGAATCCCCCTCCCTCACTTTCTTGAAAAGCTCCCTGCAGTTGCGGGTAATTCCCACCACATCCTATGTCTCCAAGCTCTGCTATTTGCAATCTGCATCTTCCGATCCCTTTCCGCCCGTGTGCATCCGAAGTTGCTCCCACCCCTCGATTTTTTTTTTTTTTTTTTTTTTTTTGGCCATCGTAGGCGAGCCTCCCCCGCCGTCCACAAGTCGCGCCCGAGCGACATAACACAAGAAGTCCAAGGGACCGCGCCCAGCTGTTTTTCGGCCCAGACGTCAGGCCTAATTACTTCCCCCACGCCCCTGTCGCTTCCCCCAAAAGACCAGTTTAGTCGTGTGGGGTCGCTGGTCCCGCTCCGATACACAGCTGCCGATGCAAGCTCCTATCGAAAAACACTTCAAAGATGCAACCGGGCACCGGCCTGCGGATTTGGTCTAGATGCATTGTTGCCTACGCAAACCCGTATTAGAGATTTATCAAGAAACAACAGACCAGGCCCCGATCGTCAAGAAATAACCAGAAATGCAACCAGGCACCGGCCTGCGGATCAGGCCCAGATACACCGTCGCAGACGCAAACCCCCACTCGACAGTTAGCAAGAAAAGCAGCCAGGTACAAACCAGACCCAGACACCCCAACTGCTCGTGGCCCACTTTTTTTGGACGACAAGAATCGAAGAGCTCGATCTTCCTTTCGATTACCCCCCCCTTTTTTTGCTGAGGGGTAGGCCCTTTCTTCCTCCTTGAACCGTCAATCCCGGGAGTCTCTTCGTCTCCCTGCGGTCGAGGCCAGTGTCCGACTGGTTTGATTATACAGTCGCACTTTCCGACGTTCCTTTTGCTCCAACCCCCCCCTTCCTAATTACTGCTAGCTCGGGCCCCGCATGCATGCCCCTTCACTTAGTCACATCGGCCAACCCTGCTGCCCGTTCAGGAATGACCCCAAGCCAAGCTGGCCGGCCCCTCTCCAAATTACCCAATTAGACTTTTGTTTCTTCCTTGCGCTACTTCCACCTGGCCACTCCAGGTTTCGTAGATACGGGGTCTGTCATCGCCCCGGAACTCATCAAGCAGCCGCCTTGGCTTTTCCGCAGATTGGATTCCCCGAGGCCCCTCCTCGGCGCAGCCAGGTGTCCACCACAAGTCTCCCGCCATTCGTCCATCCCCACGCAGTCAGACTCGGGCCCTTACGGCTTCTCCTTTTTGGATCTTTCAAGGACCTTCTGAAAGTCCACCAGCAATACCTGATCCCTGGTTCCTGGTGTCGAAACTCCGGCTTTTTGGGATCCGCGCGAGCTTTTTGCGACCAAGGTTCAGACCGTCACTCCAGCCAATCGAAGGGTTAGTACGAAGGCCCGAATGTCCGAGGTCATCAGAAACATCATACCCGCATGCATGCACACATCAAAACCATACAAAAACTGCAGAAAAAAGGACAAAGAATATTGTTTATTTTGAAAAAAAAAACATCGGCTGGTAGGAAGCCGCCCGACAACCAGCCCACACCCCAATTCTCGCCGTCCCCGGCGAGTCTCTTTCATGACCCCCCCCCCTTTATTTTAACCGTTGCCTTTCGCCTGAACGTTTACCCATGAAATGTTTCTCCCGTTTCCTCCCACTTTCCCGGGTAGATTACGCTGTCCTTTTCTTGTCACCAGACCCAACCCCGTTGTTTTGTCACGACACCATCCATGACCCACGGCACATTCCTACCCTATGACACCGATCTATGTTACAATACATTCTCGGGATTACGACTCATCGCCCCTCACGACACCCGTTCCTCTAACTATGGTACATTATGGTACAATTTTCCCTTCGGCATCTCACCTTTCCCGGAACACGTTTTTCTAACTATGGTACACCACTCCCCTCCCTCTTTTTACGCCCGTCTCCGTCTCCTCATCCTCTTCTCACGCCTCTCTCTCTTCCGCTTTCTCTCCTTTCTCTCACGTTTGAGTCTCAGGGCCTTTCTGGACGCATCCCTCCTTTCATTCAACCTCCGTTTCCTCAATCGGTCAGCATCTTCGTCATCCTCTCTTAGCCGTTTCTTCCTCCTAAGAGTCTTTGGTAGGGCAGTTTTTTGAACCTTATACCCTTTCTTTGGTGGTCGAGAAGGGGCCCCTTGTTTGGAGGTCTCCCCTTGTTCGTGGGTTACGCTCACCTCCGCGTTAATAGCTTATTTTCCTCTCCGCCCCGGCTCCTCCCCAAGGGTCTCTCTCGATCAGGAGATTTTGAGACGTGCCCCTGCGACAGGATCCCGCAGCCTACTCCCATCTAATTCCACGAGCATATAAGCCCCCCCATCCAACCTCTTTAGGACATTATACGGTCCCATCCATCGGTTCGCCAATTTCCGGCTCCAAGTCTTTTCTAGCGATGAATCATACATCAGCACTAGGTCGTCAACCCCTATTGGCGCCTTTCTGACCCGCAGATTTTTGTCCCACCTGTCTTTCCCTTTCACCCTTTCTCTCTCGACATTCTCACTGGCCGTGGTTACCCTGGCATCCAAGTTTTCGGTTATCTGCTGTATCCTTGCCTCCAACAGTTCAGCGCTAGACATGTTGGATTTCCACGAGACGCTCGTCCAAGTGTCAATGTGGAATTCGATGGGTAGGGGACAATGCCTACCGAACCAAAGGGTGTATGGAGGGTATCCCGTACTAGATTTGACCGTAATATTATCGGCCCAAACTGCGTACCGTAAATACCTCGGTCATTGTTCCTCGCGCCCTTTGCACCATTTTGCTAGAGCGTCCACGAGCGTCTGGTGACCCCTCTCTACGGGGGCATTGCTTTGGGGGTGATAAGCAGTCGTATAGGCCGCCCCGATTCCTGCCTTTTCCAGTAATACTTTGACCTTTTGGCTCAAGAACGCTGCGCCCCTATCCATGACAATCCTCCCGACACACCCGTACCGCGCGATATATTCAAGGAGAAATTCACTCACCTCCTCCGCCGTTTTCTTCTTAACGGCCTTTGCTTCCACGAATCCGGTGAGGTCATCCCGATCGTTGATTATATACTGAAGCCCGCCGACCCCTTTCGGCATGGTCACTAAGTCTATATGGACTTTCTCGCCTCGAACCGTGGGGAGTGACGGAACTAGGGGTTCTTTGTATCGAACCGTCGCCCTCTTCTGGCAGGCCTCACACGTTGAACAATACTTTTCTACTTCCGTGTATTGCCCGTCCCACCAATAAAGCCTACGGACCTTATCGAAAGTACCCTTCACCCCCCTGTGACCTCCAACGACCCCATCGTGTAACTCCTCTATGACCGCTCTTCTCTCCTCCGGATCGCACAGCACCCCTATGGGTATCGCAAACTTGGTGGGCCTTTTGAAGAGATGGCCTCCCCGCAGGCAATACCCCAGCGCCTCTTGCTGGATTCTTTCAGTCCCTGTTTCCCTACCGGCCAAGTACAGTCCTATGTCTCGGTACTTCCCGTCGAAGAGATTTGCGAGAAAAGTCTTTGGGCCTCCTTCTTCCCCTCGGCTGCTCCCCGCCATTTGCGCCCTATTAGCGACGACTTTCATTATCTCCTCCTCGACCATTGTCACTGCTTCCTCCTTAAGCCTAGGTAGGTCCTCCTCACGAATGGGAAGCCGGGACAATCCATCCGCGACCTGGTTCTTGGTCCCGGATATCCTTTCGACCCTATAGTCGTAAAGCCTAATGTGTATCATCCATCGGGCGATGGTCGGATCAATCAGTGAGAAATCCTTTTGAAGGACCGCCGCTACTGCAGTTGGGTCCACTCTCAGGAGAAATTGTCGCCCATATAGGTAATGACGGAAGACCTTTAGGCAATGCAGGACCCCTAACACCTCCTTTTTGAATTGGCTGTAATTTTTCTTGACGGGGTTCAATGTCCGGCTCTCGAATCGCAATGGTCTCTCTTTCCCCTCTCCGTCCTTTTGAGATAGGAGGCCCCCCACCAAGTGAGGTCCCGCGTCCGTGGAAACTATAAAGGGGCGATGCTCCTCGTCCTCGAAGAAAGGAACTCCTAGGACCTCTCCACCTTCGTGGAACTCCCCCTTTAAGGCCTCCATGGTCGCGGCTTGTTCTTCTCCCCAAACCCATCCTTCCGATTTCCTGAGGAGTCTTCTAAGGGGTTCTGCTTTCTCTCCATAGGAAGATCCTCCAGTAGCCCACAACCCCTAGAAACTGTCGGACCTCCGTTATGGACTTGAGCGGCGATGGCCAAGTCATCAATTTTACTAATTTCTCGGGATCTGGCCTCTGCCCCTCCTTATCGCAAATGAACCCTAATATCTTGATGGAGGACACACCCCAACGACTCTTAGTTCCGCTTACCGTGAGGTTGGCATCATCTAGCTTCTCAAGAACGTTCCTGATATCTCCCATGTGGTCGGCCACAAATTTTCTAACCCCCGGGAAAACCTCCGTCTCATCCCGCTCGACCGACCCTTTTATCAGGAAGTCATCCAAGAAGACCTCTACCTTTTCTGGTATGAATTCCTTGAGGACCGCGATCATGGCCCTTTGGAACACCGCTACCCCATTTGTCCAACCCATAGGTACCACCATCATTTGAACCAACCCTAAAGGCGCATGCATGGCGGTCATGTGCCTGTCTCGGTAATCTAAGGGAATCTCGTCATACCCTGAAAAGAGATCGCAGATAGAATATATTGAGCGACCTGCCGATCCTTCAGCTAGCAAGTCGGCCTCTGGTATAGACCCCACGTCCCTGATGGTGACCGCATTGGTCCTTTGGAGGTTTTGAATTCATCTCAGTTTGTTGCTACCCCCCTTCCTCAGAAAGAACCACTTATTTGAGTAGGCACTTTCGCAAGGTTCCGCGACGAACGTCCTGATCTTTTCCTTGATGAAGACCACTATCTCCTCTTTCTCCTTTTGGGCATACTTCCATTGGGGCCTATCCTTCCAAGGCACGTGCGGGACCGTATGGATCCGTTCCGGCTTAGCGTGCCTTGGGTCGATCCTCCCCCTCTCCGAATCATTAAAGGCAATGGCCTTATCGCACCCCCTTAGGGTCATAGCTATGAACCCCTTTTCTTCCTCCATGAGGTTCCCATCTCCTATATCCATTTTGGCCAATCTATCGACCATTATCCTTTGCCCTTCCGTCTCTTTCCTCTTCCGGATGATATCGGCTTTCTCTTCTTCCGATATTGTAGCTTCCCCCGTTCTATCCCAGCTGACCGCGGCAGGTTTCACTTTTTCCGCCACGGTTTTATGTTTCTTGACTCCGCCGGCTAGGGGGATTCCTCCAAAAAAGACATGCTCACACATCCTCCGAATTCCTCCTCCTCGTCCTCCTTCTCGTATCCCATACCATTAATCACAATTCTATCCCCTACATCCTCGACCTCCAATTGGTCCCCCTTGGGTCCCTATCCGTCAAAGGTACCTCCTCCAGACGGACTCGGCACACCTTCGACTGGCTCCCCTTGCGTCCAACAATGCTGGTCCGGTTACGCTCATCTTGCGCGTCTACTGTCTTCAGGACCACTCGGATTCCATCCGGACTTTGGATCGAAAGGGTCTGACTTCCATCTGGTAAGTCAACAGTGGTGGCGTGAACCGCGCTCAGCCAAGTCCTTTCGGGAATCAATTCGGAGGAGCACTCTTTTATCGAAAAGATTGGGACCATGGCTTCTACGCCAGCGACCTCAATCACGGGGCTATGACACACCCCTTCCGCCGGTTGCAGCTTGTTATCGGCCACCACCATCGACATTGATACCCCGCGATCTATCTCCAAGCCCAGCTCCCGCACGATAGAGTCCCTACAAACTGTAGACTCGGACCCGTTGTCTACTAGAGCCTTCATCCTCTTCCCACTTACTACTGCCTGGAGCTGGCCGCTACCTAACACATAAAATTTCTTGGCCTCTTCTCCCGAAAAGAAATTGGCAGGTAGTTCCTCCATGGTAATGCGGGAGGCCTGTACTTCTTCCTTGGCTGGACCTTCCACCGGCATCGTGGGCCCCCCTGCGAGCGGGACTCTTACCTTCCTCGTGATACTTAGGAGTTCTTCCCTGGAGCTTTTGCTGGCGGCTAGATATTCCAAAAGTGTGCACTGCATGGGCTGCATCAGAGTCCTCCTAAGGGGGCGACCGTGTCTATCTCGTCCAGAGTGCACTTCATTTCGAACTTTTTGGGGCCCCTCCTTTTTGACGATCTGGGTGAGGTCGGCTCTTCCTTCTTTTCCTCTACCGCTTTTGCATCGGCCATCGGTTGGTCATTGTCGCTGCTCCTTACTTCCGTACTCTCGGTTGCGCTTGCTTGGCTCTCGGACGTCTCGGTCCCAACCTGCGTTCTCATCCTTAGGCAAGGCCTCTCTTCCTCGGGCTGGGTTTCTATGAACTTAATTCTTGACACCTGGGGTTCCCTAATAGACACTCCCCTTTACGACTCCGTCATTTGGATATGAGCTGTGTTGGAGGAGCTCCCGATTTCCGGTTTCTTCCCCAGCCTAGCCTCCTGGAGGGCCATCCTCTTGTCCACATTCACCTTCATTGATGGGTAAAAGGAGACCGCCTCTCCACTATCTCCCCACACAACCCACTTGTTCTCATTCAGCTTGACCACCCCCAATCTTAAGGCCTCCGTGAGATAAGGGCAGTCCCTCTTGATGTGATTTTCTTCATTGCAGTAGACACACCCGCTTCGAGCTTGGGGATTGTTGGGGCGCGGATCCCCTTGTGTCGTCGTCGCTATAGGCGCAGGCGGAGCTGCTGCCTCTTTTCTCTCTTGGAATCACTGGAAAAATCGGGAGGCTAAAAAAAAAATGAGGTGGGAAGAGCGGAGCTTTAGGAAGAGGCTCTCAGGTTAGGTTGATAAATATACGTACCTTGAGTCTTCAATATTCGTTATCATAGTCCCAATAGTCCCCTAGTTCCGAGTCCGAGAAATCGGCTAGACACCGGTCCACCCAGGATTCGGCCTCCGATCCCTCGTCTAAAGTCCCCCAAGCACCCCCTTCTTCTCTAACGCCCTCGCTAAGACGGGTAGGTGTGTCTCTCTCCCCCCCTCGCCCCGGTACCCGTAACACCACTCCCCTCTCCCCCAAGTCCCGAACCGGTCCTGTTTGAGTGTCCCACTCCCTTGCGGGAGTTGGTCCCGTCGTCAGCCCTCGTGGGTCGAGAACCGAGGCCCCTAACCCCTCTCTCGACACCCTCTCTCATGCGGGACTTTGGGTAGGTGCCCTCCACAGCCCGTGTGGATCAAGAATATTTGGCGACCCTCTTGGGTCCCAAATAGATAGCGCTCCCGGACCCTCTCGGACCCCTCTCTCCTCTCTCCCTCTCCCCCTCTCTCTCTCTTCCCCTCGAGCAGACCCCCTTGCACTATTGTCCCGGACTGTTCTTCTTCCCACCCTCTCGTTGTTCTTCACCCTCATTCAGACCCCTCAAGCAAACTGTGCACCCCTTCAATTTTTAAATTTTAAAAAACAAACACGCGCGAAAACCAAGCACACAAAAAGGGACTGACCTGTTTTACCCTTCGAAGGCTGGAAGCGGGAGCCGAGATCGCAAGCGGGCCGGAGCGGACCTGCAAAAGCCCAAGACAAGAGCCTGACACCCAAAAAAAACCCTCACGCCCAACAAACCCAACAGCAAAACCCCTCCCCAACAAACCCTTCGCCGATGCCGCTCGAGAAGAACCGTGATCACCGTGGAGAATCCGTTGGAGACTACATTGAAGACGTGTGCCGAAAATCCGTAGAACACCTCAACTCACCCTACCGCTGCCTATCACGCTGGTCCTCCCTTACCCCATAGCTGCTGAGCCGGCCGCGGCCGCGGGAGAAATGCTCATCCCCGGCAACGGCGGCACTTTGTCGGGTAAACTTAGGGACACCTGCCCCCCAGCGGCGGGACTTTGTGGCGGGGGTGGTGCGACGCTCTACAAACCCCGCTTGCGCTGGCTCTAGGCACTACCAACTAGAAGTTCGGCCCGCGCCATCAGCCCGTCACCTAGTTGTCACAAGGGAAAAGTTCGAACTCCCCCGCCCGGGACGGGGCCTGCCGTACCTGGCCCAAAAGGAAAGTCTCGATTGCACCTTCTAGCAATCTCAGGTGTCTGGGAGGTTCTCCGGACACCAGTGACGGCGGAAGTGCGAAGGCTCCCTACCTCCGGACGCCAGCAACGAAACGGGAGTTTTAGAGGTTCTTGCCAAGCGATCCCTCGCAACTGCGAAGTTCGGAAAAATCTTTAACAGGGAAACAAAAAACTGAGAACTGTCAGCAACCGGCAAACACGAGTACCAGAAAGTTTAGGAACAACTCGCAGATGGTGAGCTCGAGTGACAGTAAATTCAAAACAGCTGGTAACCAAAGAATTGAGTGACAAAAGGTTCAGAACAGTTTGTGGCTTGCGAGCATGGGTGACAGAACAGGAAGTTCAGAGTAGATCGTATCCAGCGAACCCGAATGACCGTTCAGAGCAACTCATAACCGGCGAGCTCGAGTGACAGAAAATTCAAAATTGTTGGTAACCAGAGGGTTGAGCGACAAAAAAAAAAAGAATTAAGAACAGTTCACAGTTCTTGTTCAGCTAACTTCGAGTGACAAAGAAAGCTCCGAGTGGTTCGTATCCATCGAGCACGAAAGTCAGAAGGTTCAGAACGGCTCATAACCGGCGAGATCAAGAATCCTGAGAAAAGGAGTAACCGGCCAGCTTAGCACAACGAGACCATAGCGGCCAGCGAGAGCGAGGGAGTGCCTTCGTCCAGGACATGGAGTAGCCAGCTGACCATTGAGCACAACGAAAGTTCACTGACAGACCGGCTAGGTCTACTAGGACCTCGAAGATGACCTGCGGAAATAGAGCGACCGGCGAACCACGAGCTCGAATGAGCTTTGGGTCTGTCGTCCGTTTGTAGCCAGCGAGCCTCCCTGAGGAATTCGTCACCGGCTGTATCTGCGAGCTAGCTCGCGATTAGGCAAAAAGCCCCGTGTCCCGCGAGCTCGTTCGAAGGGCTCGTGCCCCGTAACCGGAGAGCCGTCTTGTAACAATCGCGTAGCTAGGCTAGATCCTAGTGATTGGCGAGCCTCGTGAATGAAGAACAATCTCGCAAGGAGCACTGCCCGGGGGACCTTGGGACGAAGAGCAAGATCGTGGCTGGTCGGACGATCAGTGATCTTAGTGA